TCTCTCTCTCTCTCTCTCTCTCACACACACACACACACACACACACACACACGTACACACATACACACTCACATACACACACATATACATTCTCTTGTCTATTGATGGGGAGCGCCACCTGCTGGAAACTAGGTCCAGCGTCCCGTGAACATCGTGAATAAAGCACCAACCGGCACCCCACACACACACACTCTTCGAGTTGTGTATAGCGAACATGACAAAACATACATACAGCATAATCAATACCTTACCCTTCCCGAACCACATAAACAAATGAACTACGGGCTGCGCACCCGTGCCCTCACGGTAAGTCAATCTGGAACGTCGTCTTTGGGTCGGTACCACGACTGTTCAGTTTTTTTTTTTTTACCTGCTCATTGTAAAGCTTCTCTATGTTTTCAGTTTTAACGTGCACGTGGCGGAATGAATCCTGTTCCTGTTTACGGCTACGGTCTTCACCCGGGGCGAGGTCCCACTTACACGAATTAAGCGATATTGACCGTAGATAGCAGAGATCGACGGCCAGAATCTCCTAATCCGTGGAAGTGGGACCTTGCCCCGGAATAGAGAACCGGTCATTAGAGCTGTATTTGCTGCTGCCAATTTACAGTCTAGATGCAGCGATAATGACCGGGCGTTCTATTCGAGCGAAGATGCTAGCCGTCGATGTGTGAAGCCTCACAGATGGGATGGCGTTAGTGAGTAGCTCGAGCCACACAGACACGCGTCCAAGGGCATAGTACCCACTCCAGGATTTTTCTACCACGCTCTGGACATGATTGCGGTCAGATTCATACAGGTCTGGCCGTGATTGCTGTCAGATTCATCTAGGAAACTGCTCGCGTTTGAGCATGCTATAAGTTAATTCGCGTTTATGATTAGGAGGATGATTGACAGGGAATCAAGGAGAGGAGGAGGAGAGGCAAGAGTGGCAGCACAGGGGGGATATGCTAAGCAGCTCAGATACGAGCCCTTGGATTATGAACGGTCAAGATGAAAGATCTGCCTTGACGATGCAGCTGTGGCTTGCATCCGAAGATCGTATTCTGGTGCTACTACCGTCTTGGAGCCAATAGCTTGTCCAGTCATTATAGTGGATTGGGGGCAAGGCGTATTAGGACGAAACCTGGGCAGAACGAAAAGCATCATGCTTCCAGGACAGGATCATACAAGAACCTGTTTATGAACCTGGCTTGTCCACTTATACCACCGGTACCCAAGGGGGTCTTAGGCCCCCTCTGCAGAGGCTCTAATGCAAATGCATAGGGACCTGCGTGGTGCACTGATTCAGCCACCGCGTTAACGGCCTAAAAACGTGGAGGTACTGGCGGTATCACATTGCTTAGGGTCAGATTCCACTACCCTGGATTATTCATTTTTCACCGTCGATTAGAAGATCAACGGTCAGAAATGAACAACAGGGGCTAGTGGGATCTGGCCCTTAGAACCTACTTATGAAAACCCCTATTTTGCACTTATTCACATGGCTTCAGGCTTCAGACCGGGACGTAGTGCTCACACCCCCCTTATTGTTATATAATGGGTAGTAGGGTACCTTTTATGGTGTGCAATGGTATATTGAAGAGTTCCTGGAGGTCGAAGGCCCTGGAGCCGTAAAGGGAACTCTGTATAAGTTCATCCGGCGAACAGAGATACAGGTACAACAGGTACAATTATGATGTATTCTATTCGGGTGAAGATCGTCTTTCAGTTGCAGTCCCCTCTATATACTCTTAGGAGTAGTGGTAGGAAGGTAGTGAAAGGCGAAAAAAGAATTTGAGAGAAGAATATAGTGTAGTTAAAAAAAAAAAGGAAAAACAAAAAGATAGCTGGCACTAGAGCTGTGGAGTAGATCCGTTTTTCACCTTTTATCTTGCTGCGCCTTTCTCTAGTGCTCGGTTTTGCCAATGAAAACCTCTGTGGGAGCGGTGGGTTCTCGGTCTGAATGTGTAATGGATGCACGACCTGAGCTACAGCTAGTTTGGCTTGTTCCCCACTGGAGTAATCAGGGATGGTTTTGCTGGAGGAAGATGCTCATACCACTTCTGCCAGTCGACCTCAACTGCTTTTTTCTGTCTCTGTTTCTCTCTTTTTATTTAAGGGAAAATGGCACCCTGCTACAACTGAAAAATCGCCGATGAGTTGTGCTCCAACAATTCACTTCGGGGAAGGCTCCAAAATTTCCCTGCTTTCCTGTTCACCAAGGGCCAGCCACTGTTTTCGTTATTTATTTCAGAGTAGACTGATCGCCGCATGGGGCTGCACACTGCTCGATCATTAGATTAGGGGAGGTAGAGGGCATTTGCTTCTGCCAAGTACTTGCTTCAGTGGCGTGAGTGAACAACAGCTTCACCTGGCCATTACATCAGGCCATGCTCTTGAGGTGATGGTGTCGGGTCATCGGAGAAGCAATGAAGGGGGTGGAGCCCCACATTTCATCACAAGTAAGGTGGTGCACTTACAAAACTTAGAGAAAGTCCTCAAAGTGTGGGCTGTGGGGCATGGCTCGATATGTTTTTCAACTGGACTGGAATTGCAGTAGTATGAATTGAAACGTCTATAAGGAATATACTTGAGGATTCGTTGTTTGGTGGCTGTGGCACTGTTCATGTGGAAAGAAATGATTTTGTTGTTGAGCCTCGTTTTTTTCTAGGAAAATTCTCAAAGTAAATCCGAGGAGTGTGAACCATGTAGTTGTGCTCCAAATTCTTAGTTCGATCAATTTCCTTATGCTAAATCACCAGTACTTCATCCTACTTTTTCCCCACACTGGGTAGTATAGTCGGCGCATCCTTCAGGGTTAGGGCTGTTGTTGCTGAATTTCATTGATGCCGCTAAAACTGCCAAAATACCTGAAGGTTGTGGTGCTGACCCGCAGCCGAACATTGGGCCTAGTACTGGTGGTGTAAGTAAGAACGCGGCCAGCCTTGTGAATACGGCTACAAACAGGGCTCCACATCCCACAATGAATACGGCTACTGGGAATCACACCGCGTTTTTACAAAAATCTGTTGTTTTTTTAGACAAACGGTCTGATTTGGCATGCAAACGGTCCGCTTTTGCACATCGACGTAATTTATTTGTAGAGGTGGTGTTGAGTGTATTGGTAGGGCGTTGTGAGGCACAACTTACCACTCCGATTAAGAGCTCCAACTACACCTCTCAGGACCCTTTACACCAGGATACGTTGTTGCGAGGTAAAACTTACCGCTGCCAAAAGAGTTGTCACTACCCTTAGACGGATTTATCCCTGCTAAGCTATTGACCTGCATGTGCTGACTTTTACTTGTTCTGCTATATGTAAGCCACCTCGGGAACATTTCTCGCTTGTTGTAGCTAGGTGTATCCGTTGTAGAACATCCAGGACTCACCCATAAATGCGTCAACCTTGGGACACTACGGTCGACAGTGACAGGTGTTCTCACCCTGAGAATAAACTCCGAGGCTGAAACGTCTAACTAATCATCCCAGCAAACAAATGTAAGGTAAACATTTTTTGTATAGTAACAAAGTCATGATAAGTTATAAGATGAAGATTTCATTTATATTTCACACAAGCACATCACAGGAAGATGCGTAGGCCGCAATAACAATCTGTTCGACGTCGGAGCCGCAATCAAAATATGAAAACTAAGTGTATTGAAGCTACACCTCGTTGAGGTGTTCCAATCAAGTCTTTAATAAGCCAAGCTCATTGTAATAAATCTTTCATGGTAAACGGTCTTTCATTGGCATGTGGCCACAATCAAAACACGTCACATAATGCTAAGGAGTCAAATGAAACATAAAGTCGGATCATCTGCGTTGCAGATGAAT